GTTTGAAACCTGAAAATCTGTGTTGAATTTGTGTTCTCTTTTGACCACGTATAACTAACTGGATATTTAGTCATTGGCAGCATTTCAAGGAAGATAAAGATGTGTGCTTATCAGACTTATCCTGAAGAACTTTGGCAAACTTCCATGGAACTATTTACGAACTGTTTCAAGTTGATTACAGGCTGTGAGTGACTAAAATTCACAGCTGTTGAAATAAAGAAAAAAGGGTTTTGGGACTAACGTGTGTTTGTTAGTGTCTCCATAAGCCTTGGTCAGAACACAGTCTTCTTGAGAGGTGGTTGTCTTTACCAATCGGCCAGCACACACTCATCCCAGAGCTACAAATAGTCTCCTTTATCATAAAAGCTTGCTCCTTGGCAGGAGTTTTCTTGTTTTTGTCCTAAGGGCATAAGCACAAATGAAGCAACCAATTCTGATCCTTGCTATTAATCAAATAACACATTTCAAAGTTCCCGCAGCAAACAGCAAGCTGGCTGCAAATGCTTCCCCAGTATGCAACACAAATATAGGTGCTTGCACACAAATACACAAACTGTTATCCTATCTACTTTTCTGATCAAAAGACAGAAGAATGGTCTGTTTCAAATTCTGTCCTTTTCTTTAATGAAGAAGGAATTAATAATGCTGAAACAGGAATGTCTGTTTTGTGTAAGGCCCTGTGTTAGAATTTCTCATCTGTACTAATTCAAGTGTTGATCTCAATGGATAAATTTGGATGACAGGCAGGAGATCAGTAGCTTTATCCTACCCTAACCCAACTTTCTGAATTTGCCCCATCCTTAACTAAACAACTAACTCCCACAAACAACTAATTAAGCTAAACAACTAACTCCCACAACACTGTCAAATTGCTTAGTAAGACTGTATTACTATTCTTCTTCTCATCCTTCCTATTACCTATCTCTTCCCACTTATCACTATAACCGTGTTGCTTGTATCTCTACAATTTATATTGTTTTGTTTTCTTAGTATGTTTTGATTGCATATTAGTAACCTATGTATGATTTGATTGCTTATTAGTAACCTATGACTATCACTAAGTGTTGTATCTTATGATTCTTGGTGAGTGTATTTTATTTTTTCTTTATGTACACTGGGAGCATATGCACCAAAGACAAATTCCTTGTGTGTCCAATCACACTTGGCCAATAAAGAATTCTGTTCTGTTCTGTTCTGTTCTATTCTTCTCAACTTCCCTTCCAAGATGTCTTGGTATACAAAAAACCCAATGGCTCCCTAGGACACACCATCTACCAAAAGAAAACACATACAAACCGCTATCTACACGCACTCTCACACCACCACCCAGCACAGATCAATTCCGTAGCTGAGACACTCATCTCCAGAACAAAATGCTTAGCTGATGAACAACACCTAAAAACCGAACTAAACACTCTCACCAACGTACTAACAGCCAATGGATTTCAAAGAAAGAAGATCACCCACCTAATCCAAAAAAGAAACCCCAACCAAAATCCAAGACAGAGAACAAGAGAACGGCAAAGCCCTCCTCCCATATATAAAAGGCACTACAGACAAAATCAGCAAGATCCTCCAAAAACACAACATTAAAACAGCATTCTGCACAAACAGAAAAATATCCACCATCCTAAGAAACCCTAAAGACAAAATCGAGTTAGAAAACCAAGGAGTATATGAAATCCCTTGCACTGCCTGCCTCACCACATACATTGGACAAACTAACAGAAGAATAAGTGCACGCGTTGAAGAACATAAGAACTCAATCAAAAAAGAAGAACCAACCTCTTCCCTGGTCCAACACCTCAAAGCCACAGGACATGAGATTGACTTTAAAAATACCAGAACTATCGCCAAAACTGAACACTTCAGCAGCAGAATAATCAGAGAAGCCATAGAGATAGAAAAACGCCCACACAGCATGAATAAAAGAGATGACACCTCCCGCTTACCAGCCATTTGGAAACCCGCCCTCATGAACAGACGAGTACCCAACATGATGAATGACACCAGACCCACACCCACGAGGGCCACACAAGATGCCACCACCACACTTCCACGTAAAAATCAGACTCACACCCACACAGAAGATGAGACACGACCACAGACCAGAAGCCGCACTGCAGCTGCATCACTACCCACTTCAAACCCATCTGAGCCATACATGAAGCGAACTGACCCCCACCATGAAGATGTGGCACGACCACGAACTCAAAGCCAAACAGCAAGATCCCAGCTCACCAGCTCAAATCCCCCAGCAGCTGGGACTAGCCTGAGCACGGCCAAGCCCCCACCTGAACAGAGCACGCCTCCAGCCAATCAGAACACGGCCAGCCCCCCAACCAATCAGAACACAGCCAAGCCTCCAACCAATGAGAACACACCCCCACTGGCAGTTAGAAGGAAGAAGCAGCTGAAAGCTCACATCACTCTGAGAAGCACAGAGCCGAAGAAGCAAGCCTGAAGATGATGAATGAGACTTCATCGAAACGTTGCCTAGATACTTTGAATCTTACGCGGGAGAAAACCCGAATAACCAAAGATCCATATACACACACACACACACACACACACACACACACACACACATATACATACATACATACATATATATATGTTATGTCTCACCTATATTCTCAAGTGAGTATACAGAGTTCCAGAGTTCAAAATATTCAAACAAGAACTAAAAAGGGTTAACAATACTGTTTTCCAGTCCTTGGCAGACTTCCCGGAATCTGTCTGGTAATTCAGAATTGTCCATCAATCACAGAGGCCGCTCCACACGTATCCTTTGGACTCATCAAACACTTTGCTTCCAAGAAAAGTTTGAGAGTAAGCACGCCTCCTTAAATCACCTGGATGGGCGTGTCAGTCTCTCTAATCAATATCTGGCTTGACGCCTCCCTTCAGATTGACGTTTCAATCGTCTCCTAATTCCAAGATATGTCAGTTTCCCCATTAGAAGCCTCTGACTCATTTTGTGGATCAGTTGCTGGCATGAGCGAAGTCAAAGGTTCTGGGGAGGATTGTCTCTCTGACAATCTCTCATCCTCCTGGCTCACATCTGTGTCCTCTGATAATTCAGACTCCACATTCACAGCAAGCTCCAACCTTCCATCTTCAGAGTCATCAGAGTCAAAACTCCCAGCAGGATCGATCCTTCCAGTCACAACACTATCCCTCACCGCAGGGCCCTTCCCCCGAGTCTGACGATCAGGATGTGGTTTTGAAAGGAATTGTGCATGATATATTCGAATAAGGTCTGGGGCATGCACCTTGGACACATCCTGCCAAGAGCGAATCTCCGTTTCATTTTCCAGTCTCCCCACGAAGTACTGGAATCGTCCCTTCAGCCATCGTGAATCATAAATTCCGACCACTGTAGTATCCGTAACAGGTTCGGTGCTGGGCCTAGATGGAGAACCTGTATCTTCCGGAGAACGGAGAGTACACGATTGAGTGTCAGGTACTAACAGGGAGCGGTGAAAAACAGGGTGAATGCGCATGGAGTGCGGTAGAGTGAGTCGATAAACCACAGGATTAATAACCGCCTCGATAGGGAAGGGACCAATAAAGCGATGATCCAACTTCCTAATCGGACAATAGACCCGAAGATGTTTCGTTGACAACCACACCTTGTCACCCACAGCCAACGGAGGCGTCGCTTGACGCGAATGATCTGCGAAACGCTTATAATCTGCTTTCGCTTGTTCCAATTGTCTGGAAATTAATTGATGCACGGCATATAACTCCGACAAAAAATCTCGTGCCTCTGGAACTGGAGAATCTGCGATCGACAGGGGGAAAAACCTCGGATGGTAACCCACATTTGCGTAGAAAGGTGTCATGTGGGTGGAGGTGTGCCGAGAACTCTGCCAATGGAAGATAGGTCACCCAGTCGTTTTGTCGTTGATTTACAAAACATCTGAGGTATTGGGCGAGGATGCCAATTACTTTCTCAGTCCCACCATCGGTTTCCGGATGGTGCGCCGACACTAAACATACTTGTACTCGTAGTGCGTTCATTAGACTTTTCCAGAATTGAGCGGTGAACTGAACACCGCGATCTGAAACAACTCTGTCCGGTAAGCCATGTAAACGGAACACGTGTTGTGTGAAAAGCCAGGCAGTAACACGAGCCGACGGTAATCTCCTACACGGGATGAAATGGGCCATCTTAGTGAGCATGTCAACCACCACAAGCACCGTTGTATAACCCGACGAGGGGGGCAAGTGCGTTAGAAAGTCCATGGAGATTGCTCCCCATGGTCTGCTCAGAGTCAGCAGTGGTTGAAGAAGTCCAGGAGGCGCACCTGATGCTGGTTTCGCCTGTCGACATTGTACGCAAGAAGCGATGTAGGAAAACACATCATGTCGAACCCGAGGCCACCAAAAAGTCCGGGTGACCAAGTGCAGTGTTTTGTAAAAACCAAAATGACCAGCAGCGGGGTTGTCATGACATTGCGTCATGATGAGGGCTCTAAGCGTCCTGGTGAGTACATACAATAAACCCCGATGTCTTAGCAAGCCCTCCTCCAAAGTCCATGGGGAATCAGGTCCAACTTCACCCCTTCTTTGTTGTGACCAGGCGTCCAATCGCTGCGCTTCCCGTATTCGAGCCCTCAAATCCACCGGATCCTGAATCACTGCCAAAGATTCTGGTGGCAACACCGTTCGTGGAGGAAGAGGATCCTCGGGACCAGTATATTCGGGTTTTCTAGACAACGCGTCTGCTCTCCGATTCTGTCCACTTGGAACAATAAGTGACGGAAAAATTGAACCTTGCGAAAAACAACGACCACCGGATCTGGCGTTGGTTCAACTTCTTGGTGGTAGACAAATGTTCCAAGTTTCGGTGATCCGTCCGAACCTCCACCTTGTGCCGAGCCCCCTCTAGTTGATGTCGCCATGTCTCAAATGCAGCCTTGATAGCCAACAACTCCTTTTCCCAGATAGTATAATTGTGCTCAGAAGCTGTGAGCTTCCTAGAATAATATGCGCAGGGGAAAAGAGGTACTCCATCCTTCGAAGCTTGCAACAATACCGCCCCGATAGCGACATTAGAGGCATCTGTCTCGACCACAAATGGACGATTCGGATCAGGATGCCTCAATATCGGCTCGGCCACAAAAGCTTTCTTTAGAGTTTCAAAAGACTGTTGTTGCGGGACCCCCACCGGAACGGGACCTTCTTACAAAGGAGCTGAGTGATGGGATCCATTAGCTTAGCAAAATCCGGAATGAAGGTCCTATAGTAATTGGCGAACCCCAGGAGACGTTGCACGTCCTTTACTTGACGAGGGGCTTCCCAACTACACAAGGCCTCGACTTTTTTAGGATCCATAGAAATGCCCTCGGGAGAGATGATATGCCCTAAAAACTCTACTGAAGACTGAAAAAAGAAACACTTCTCCAGTTTCGCATAGAGTTTATGCTCCCGAAGACGCTGAAGCACTTGACGGACATGATGAAGGTGGTGATACCTGGACCGAGAGTAGATCAAAATGTCGCCCAGATACACCACCACAAACCTATCCAGCATGTCCCGAAAAATGTCGTTCATCAAATGCTGGAATACCGCGGGAGCGTTGGTCAGACCAAATGGCATGACGGTGTACTCGAAATGGCCGTAACGAGTGCCAAACGCCATCTTCCACTCGTCCCCCTTGCGCATCCGAACCAGGTTGTAGGCCCCACGCAGATCGAGTTTAGTGAAGATAGTAGCCTCCTGCAACTGCTCCATCAATTCCGGAATGAGCGGCAAAGGATAACTATTCCTCACTGTGATGGTGTCAACCAGCGGTAATCACAGCATAAACGGAGCTCTCCCGACTTCTTTTTAACAAAAAGAACGGGAGCCGAAAGAGGGGACAACGATGGTCGAATAAATCCCCGAGCCAAGTTTTTATCTAAAAACTCTCGAAGCGCAACCAACTCGGGCTCCGACATGGAGTATAACTGACCCTTGGGCAGTGGAGCATCCGGTATCAGGTCCACGGAACAATCATAAGCACAATGCGGTGGTAATCGATCCGCCTCCTTCTCGCTGAAAACGTCGGAGAAGTCCGATAGCTCCGAAGGTATGGGAACAGCAGGAGCGGCGATATCCTGGCCAGCGCAGACATGTCTCAGATGATCCACACATTGGAGACTTGTAAAGGAAATGGCGTTCTGCACCCAAGCCACCAACGGATCATGCAAACGCAGCCAGGACATGCCGAGAACCAAAGGGAGATGAAGGTTCGAGGTGATATAGAAACTTATCGCCTCCTCGTGATCCCCAATAATCATACGCACTGGCTGGGTGGCGAAACGAATGGGCCCAGACCTGAGCTCATGCCCATCCACTGTTTCCACCTTAATGGGTGGATCCACAGCAACCAATGGGATCTCAAAATGCGTAGCAAAAGCCCGGTCCATAAAACTGGTTGTAGCCCCTGAGTCCACCAATGCCACTGCAGGGATTCCCTCCTTCTGGGACTGTAAAAAGATTTGAGTGTCCAAAAGTAAATGCCGAGGAGGGCCAGGATTCACTTCAGCAATTTGGGGTGGGGGTGTAGAATGTGCCCGACTTAGGGTTTCCCCGAGGTCGGGCCTACCCCATTTCCCGACGGGTCAGGAGTGGTTTCAGGCACGGGTCTGCAAGTCCCTCTCCGTTGGCAGGAATTAGCAAAATGTCCCGGACCCCCGCAATAAAGGCACAAGCCTTCCTGAAACCTTCTCGAACGTTCTCGCGCCGTTAAGCAAGGGCGGAGTGCTCCCAACTCCATCGGCTCCTCTGTCTTAACCATGGTTTGAAAAACTTTCGGTGGCGTGGTTTGTGAACGAGAAGGAGAATGTGGTTCCACAACGGGCCGTCTGCTTCCGCACTGTTGTAAACGGGCTTCAATACGTAAGCACTGTATCACTAGTGCATCCAGGGTTGAAGCCCGCTCTGCATGTACTAACTCATCCTTGATGGTATCAGCCAAGCCCTCCTGAAACGCATCCATGTGGGCCGGTTCATTCCAGTTAGAGTCCATATAAACGAAATTCTGCAATGTATTCCTGCAGGGGACGTTTCCCCTGATAAATGTCCCATAACCATCTAGCCACAGTTTGAGTTTTAATTGGGTTTTCAAACATAACCCTCATTTGCTGCAGAAAACCCTGAAAATTATCCAACAAAGGACTATCTTGAATTAACAAGGGAGTAGCCCATTTGGCAGCCTGCCCAGATAAAAGGCTAATAATAAATCCTACCTTAGCCCAGTCATTTGGAAAGTCTTCAGGCCTCAAGGTTATAAATAATTGACACTGCCCCATAAATGCCGGGAACATGTCCGTTTGCCCTGAAAATTTCTCCGGCATGGATACCGGGCTTTTCCTCAAGGGAGGGGCTGAAGGAGCAGCAGGACTTTGCAAATTTGAAACATGATTCACCAACATTGTTACCTGGTTTTGAAGGACCTGGTTACTTTGTATCAGTTGGTCTATCTGTTGCTGTTGCTGCTCCACCAAACGCTGTAATTGAGTTTGGTCCATCTTGATATGAAGATGGTTTGTTAGGCTTGGAAGCAAAACTGTTATGTCTCACCTATATTCTCAAGTGAGTATACAGAGTTCCAGAGTTCAAAATATTCAAACAAGAACAAAACCAGACTAAAAAGGGTTAACAATACTGTTTTCCAGTCCTTGGCAGACTTCCCGGAATCTGTCTGGTAATTCAGAATTGTCCATCAATCACAGAGGCCGCTCCACACGTATCCTTTCGACTCATCAAACACTTTGCTTCCAAGCAAAGTTTGAGAGTAAGCACGCCTCCTTAAATCACCTGGATGGGCGTGTCAGTCTCTCTAATCAATGTCTGGCTTGACGCCTCCCTTCAGATTGACGTTTCAATCACCTCCTAGTTCTAGCGTCAAGCCAAGATATGTCAGTTTCCCCATTAGAAGCCTCTGACTCATTTTGTGGATCAGTTGCTGGCATGAGCGAAGTCGAAGGTTCTGGGGAGGATTGTCTCTCTGACAATCTCTCATCCTCCTGGCTCACATCTGTGTCCTCTGGTAATTCAGACTCCACATTTACAGCAGGCTCCAACCTTCCATCTTCAGAGTCATCAGAGTCAAAACTCTAGTGATGCTTTTAAAGTTGTAGCAACGTTTCAGCAGAATCTCATCTGCCATCATCAGGCTTTTTTATAGTGTTCGCCTGTGAGTTAGACTTTTACAGTGGTTTCAGATTTAAATTTGGGGCAGCCTATTGCTGTGCCAGAATGGTTTTTTCTTCATCCTGATTGGTTGAGAGTCTTGGTCTGTGTTTATTGGTCTTGGAGTTTGCTGTGTTCTGCTTCTAATATCTTCTGTCTGTTTTTTT